TTTGAGGAGATTTTTATATCCAAAATGAGCTAAAAATAAAACTGATCCACACAATATCTCTTTATTTATGAAAAGATGGGTAGAGATGGAAAGAAAAATCAAACAAATCATTCAACCTTTAGGTATTTTGCAAGATACCATTTCTGTATTCATTAGAGTCATAGATGATGTGAAAGAGCCATGGGCAGGGGTGAAAAGAACTTGAGAAGAGAATTGTGACAAATTAGGGTAATCTTGAGTTGATACATTGAGATTCTTTGAGGAGAGGAGCTACAGAGAAGGTTCTTCAGCACTTGATGAGGAATGAGATTTTTGGGAAAGGGTGGAATGGGAGTTATTTAAGATAGGTAGAAATAAATCCAGGGACTACTTCTAAATAAATAATATGCTTATATGTTTCCTTAAATTCTAACAAATACGAAGTTGGTTTCTCTGTCCTATCTGTGGATTTAATTGATTAATCAGAATCGGCAGAAAGGGCCTAGTGCTTGACTATGTCCAATCAAATGTATAACAGATAAGTGGGACTTCAAAAAAACCCCAACCTTCATCACTTAAACCAAACTTTTCACAGGTTGCCTCTAACGTGAAGTGACTTAAGTGTTTTGGTTAGCTTCACTCTGGGAGCAGGGTTGGCAGGGGGTTCCGCAGGAGTGGGGTTGGAGTGCACTGGCTGCTGTCCCCGTCCCTGGGGACTATCGAATAGTCATGTAACTGCTAAGATTTCATGCGGTTATATGACTGCTCAATTATTCAATATCTAACATTCCTGTTACCCACGTGTCTTCCTGTACTGTAGAGATGTGGCTTCTCACCTCTGATCTGATAGCAGTGTCATTGAAAGTTGGTGTTTAGAATTTACACATATTTGATTTGTGTAACTACACTTGTAAATATATTCCCATAGTTCCCATACAATACTCATTGTGTTAGTGTGTTAAAATTATTCTACATGTTTAATTTTATATTTAAAAAATAACAAATAGTCTGGTAGCACTTTAAGACAAAATATGTAGATGGTATCATGAGCTTTAATGGGCACAGCCCACTTCTTCAGATGACCGGAGTGTTGGATGTTTAACTTCATATTAAAATTCTAATGGTCAGGGACAGGCTAAGGAATGGCTGTTTTACTGAGTGTAAAACACTATTTAAAAGTAAGATTGATGCTAGTCAAACGGAGACAGTCAAAGAATCCCAAAGTGCTTATTGTCATTACATATACAGGAATTTCTTCTCCCTGTTAAAGCGAACATTTTTGCTGGTCAGAGGCCTCAAGTGGATATCAGTAAAGTACAGGAAGTGTCAAATTAAGCTTCCCTTCTCCCAATATGCCTAAACTTGATAGGAATGAGGATGAGTGGATAGCTGTGTCTACCTGGACCATTCATTTGTGAACCTCCACTTAGACTGCCAGCAAGGCAGCCAGTCAGTCATAGTTAGGATACTCACAGATGCCTGCTAAACGCTGGCCTAAAACAAATTCATTTCAGAAGCTGCCAATTAGCCTGGGAAGTGACATATCATTCTGGCCTCTGGACAGAAGTAGTCAGTACCATAGAGGTGAGATACTCTGTATGCTGTTTGCAAAATTCTCAAGCCATTCACTCACTTCCTATAACTCTCTGCTATCTTGGTTTTCATATCCTATTGAGAAAGCTGCTGTTTGAAAAATTAATTACCCATATACATAAACATATTACTGCATACCCCATAACCGAATGAGTGGATTTATAAATCTACTCATCATGCAGTCAGCTTCTGGATATGCATTTGTCTATAAATGGCTAAGTTTCAAGGACAATGTTAAATAAAAGCTTACTTTTCAAAATGGCAGGATCTGACTTTCCTGTTTACCGTAATGGAGCTGCCTCTCATTGGCAGCTCTGTTGCTGGGAGACTAACTAATTTTTATGGTGCACGTCAGTAGCGGTGACTCAAATTATACATTTCATTGAATGCCTTTCTCCTCTTTGTTTTTAAACTGTCTTCTCTAAAGGGAGAGAGAATGCTTTTTGTTCTGGAGAGAACAGTGTCCAGAACAGTTTGAATCTAAACAAAGGGCCAGATTATCCTCTTGGTTACATCATTGTAATGCCAGTGTCACTCCATGGGGGTCGATGGCCTGATGAATTTTACACCAGTTGTAATAGTCAAATCTAGTCCAAAATATTTAGGAGGATATTAAAGGTGGCTTATACTTCTCCTTCAGTTGCTGCATCCCTTTTGTAAACTCCTGCAGCCAAAACCTGCTGAATTTAATATAATTTTATTTTAAAGAGAAAAGGCCAAAGTGGATTCAAAGATTTTTTTTTTTCTATTAGAAAACTGCCCAATTCCAGTTCACATCACAAAAACATACAATGACTGCTGTAGGGTCCTGTCTCTTTCCCACTAACCTAAACAGTTACACAATTTACATGTGTCTCAATACATGCATACAAGTAGGATGGTAAAAAGTGGGTGTGTATAGGGATTTAGTCAGGGAAGAGTGTGACTAATGGAGAATCCTACTATCTAATTGCTCTGACAACATCAAAGCTTTGTGATTGCAAAATCAAACTTCCTCTTCATGTTGTAGGCGATGGTAGCCCTCTCCTTAATATTTGTGTCCCACTTGGATTTTTGTAGTGGCTATTTTTAATCTTGTTTGAGAGCACTGTAAAATGGTGTGTGTGTGTGTGTGTGTGTGAGAAGCCTGCCTGCTTAAATACACAAGCCATGTCAGCTGCAATGCGGCAGTGCTTGGTGCTAATGAAGTGAGCTGCCAGAGCAGCCTTCCCCCTTGTGTTTTCTCTCTGTTTTCTCTGTAGGAGATGGAATTGGGGGAAAAGATCTGTATATGGAAAGGCTCTGTTTCTGCTGTTTCCAAAAAAAGGTTCTGTGTGCACGTGAAGGTGGGGAGGGCGACTTTCTCTGTGTATTGCAGGTGGCATCTCCTTTCTATTAAAGGCATGATCTGAAATGTATCTTAGGTGGGAGGAGAGAGCTATGAGAGGAAGAGGAATAGAAAAGACCTGTGTCCAGCTAAAAGCATGAATTCAAATACTCTTTAAAAGCAAAGTGAAACATAAACTGTAGATTGGCGTTCTTAAAATAAATATGTTTTTGTTATGGGGAGAGTCAGCAAATATACAATGGCCAGATTTGAATTGTTCCAGCTGGCTTACACTGTTTATGGAAATCTAAGTGCACTGTCATCTCTTCCTATCTCTTCCCTCCTCTTTTAACCTTTAGGGTACCAATAGCAAGTACCATCATTTCAGTTAATTACACTGAATTATGGGTTTCCATCACCTCACTTTATTGACATGACAAGATGATCAAAATGGCTTCTGGGCTCCCAACCCATAGTCATCTGCCAGGTCCTCCTCTGGAGACTTGACATCTTGCAAAAGCAGCCCTTTCTTGCTC